ATGTAGGCCCTTTTTAAAGAATTGTATTTCAGAAGTGTCCATGTTTTGATTTATAGCAAAACACCTTTCAAATAACTTGGCCTAATATATCCCCTTAAAGGTCCCTCAAGTCAAATCTTAAGGTTTCTTAGACATTTGTTGGCTTGGGGATTTGTCAATTATCAAGATCTTTTATTCCCCACATCCCTGAGGACAATTAATTTTGTTAACACATTACTTTTGTATAAGAGAATTTTGTAAGTATGTCTACCAAATCAGAAATCAAATATCTGACATAAAATTTCTACACCTAGAATAAAAGGCAAATTTTATTCAAAGACAGCATACTGAAATGTAAAGTTAGTTAAAAAATAGAGCCAGTGACCAGTTGTAAGCATTGCTGAGGATGTCAGAGTCCTAGGAGTTAATAATTAAGCTTGGTAAAGAGAGAGCACTCCGGCCTCCAATAGGCAGATAGGACAGAAAAGCCAAAAAAGTCCCCAGGCAGCTACACTGCCTTACCATTTGGGGGTGCTGCTTTCTGACACAATAGCATCATTCATATTCAATTATAAGGTCTATCAAAAAGAATTTATTCTTATAAGTTAAAGCAGGTTAAAAATTAGCCCAATATTAAAACTTGTATTCCCCCATTTGCTTTCTTGAAGAGACCAAGATATGGATGATACTGCCAAGTGACAGAAAGAAAGGTTGAGAGCCTCTTTAGTTCAGTTAGAACCAGGTTATGTTTTGGGATCACAGGTCTTTGAATATACTTGTGAAATTTCACCTGTGGACTTCAAATTCAGTCAGGATCATTTTAAAGACTTTTTCTTAAATATACCATGGTGATCCTTGTTTCACTGAGTCCATTCATATTCTCGTCTACCTTGGTTTCCATGTCTTTTCACCAGGTACTTTCAAAATCATTTCACTATAATGACCTAATTCTGACACAAAGCCCAGCAGCCATAAAAGGGGAGATTTAAGAGTTGCCACCACACAGGGGTATGTGGATGGCTCAGCTGGTTGAGCATTCGCCTCTTGATTTTGGCTCAGGTCATGATCTCAGAGTCACGAGATCAAGACCCATGTCGCACTCCATGCTCAGCATGGAGTCAGCTTGGGATTCTCTCTCCCTCTCCTGCTGCCCCTCCCCCACTCACATGCTCTCCAAAATAATAAGAATTACACCAGATAAAAATAATTTCTGCCATGATAAGCAAACAAAATGACAAAGCGCTGAGGGGAAAGGTATTTAGTTAGCTCACTGCAAGAATAAAGGGTTCTTATTAAGAAAAAAAACCAAACACAATAGAAAAGTGGTCAATAAATATCACAGAAAGGCAATTGGCAAAATTCAGTTTGTGGAAACCTCTACAGGTTAATCTTATTTCTTCAAGTAAGGGCAAAAGAAATGGAAGGGGAAACACACAGATTAAAAGAAATAAGAGGCACTTCATCTTCACTAAAGAAGGTATTTGTATGGCCAATAAGCTTATGAAAAAATGTTCATTATCATCAATTGTCATGAACAGCAAATTAAAACCACAATGAGATACCACTACACACAGAATGGCTAAAATTACAAGCTGGAACCAAACGGTGAGGATGTGGACCTACTGGAACTCTCATATTGTTGGTTTTACAAAACAGGATGACTTCAGAAAAAAGTATGTCAATTTCTAGTAAAATTAAAAATATATCAATCTTACAACTCAGGATATTCAACTAAGTACTACCCAAAAGAAATTAAAACGTAGATCCACAAAACGGCTTGCACAAGAATGTTCACAGCAACTTTATTGGTAAGAGCCAAAAACTAGAAACAGCCCATTGTCCATCAGTTGTTCATCTAAGTGAAAGGTTAAACTGTGGTATTTTCCTACAATGGAATACTACTTGGCAATGAAAAAGGAACAAAGAGCTGAAACATATAGATGAATCTCAAAACATGCTGAGTGAAAATTTACACAAGAATACATTTATATGAAGTTCTAGAATAGGTCAACCAATCCATGGTAAAAACAAATCCTAACAGGGAGAAGGGACGGGAGAGGTGCAGGACTTGACTGGGTAAAGAAATTTTCTGATGTGATGGAAATGTTCCATAGCTGGCTAGAGGTTTGTATTACACAGTTGTACATTAAAACTCATCACGTGGTAGGTACACTTAATATTTGTTCACTGTAAATTTTACCTCAAGAAAAAAAACTCTAACAGTATGTATTCCAAAAAGCTCAAGAGTCAAGTATGTCTACAACTTTGGTATCTATAAAGAAAAAAAGATTGATGGAAGGACAGATATAACACAATGCAGAAAATATGACAAAATATTACTTGTAGAATCTAGGTGTAGGTATACATGTTTATAATTTAACTATTCTGTATACTTGAAATTTTTAATTGAAAAATGTTGCAGGGGAGTCATAATAACCAAATGCAATGTGTGGATTGTTGTTTAGATCCTGATTCAAATAAACTTTTTAAAAAATTACTTTTCAGATAGATATTTGTGATAGGCAATTAGTATTTTTAGGAATGGTGGGGGTTTTTTTAAGTCCTTTTTAAAGAAGAGACGTATACTGTAATATATTCAGATAAAGTGATGCTATGCCTTGGATATGCTTTAAGATTAATATGAGGAGAATAAGTAGAGGGGGATAGTGGGGGGGGAATGGGGACAGGATATGAAGACAATTCACAGAAAGTCTTAAATATGAAATGCTACCTCATAAGAGAACACCACCGTGGGTTTTTTTAAACCAGTCAGATTGGCAAATAGATTGCTAATATGCTGTGTTAGTGAGGCTATGGGAAAATGGGCACTTGCGTTGCTGGTATAAACTAAGAAAAAACAAATTATTGATATAAGTTTAATTTTAGATATAAATTACAAGTGCACAAACTCTGACCATTTATCCTAGAGAAATTTATGTATGTACAAAATGACATAAATTTATACAAGATAATTCATTTCAGCATACAATAGCAAAAGACTGGAAACAATTCACCTATTCACTAGTAAGGGACAGGTTAAATTACGTACATCCATACTGTACACTTTAAAAAATGAGAGGATTTTATATATGGATATAAAATGATCTTTGGGATGTATTAAATGGGAAAAAAATGGCACAGAACAGCATGTATAGTATGCTATAATTTATATTTTAAAAAAATGAAAATGTCTATTAAATATTTGTTTATCTATACAGTAAATATCACTGCAAGTTTACACTGGAAACTAATGACAGGGTTGCCTAAGTAGGGGAACTAAGTGGCTAAAGCACAGGATGGGAGGGAGACTTCACTGTATATCCTTTCATATCTCTCAAATTTTATTTCATTCAAAAAATAAAATACAAACAATTTACAAATTACCCCACCATTTATTTTCATATCATCAAGGTTTAAGAACCAAACTAAACCTTCCTATATCCCTGTCCTAAAATTTAATAAGAAAACCACCTAACTAAAAAGCTGGGCAAAAGATCTAAACACACATCTCACCAGAGACAATATGCAGATGCAAATAAATGTATAAAAAAGATGCTCACCATCTTAGGTCATTATGGAATTGCAAAATAAAACAAGATAACGAGTAAACACCTATTACAATAGCTCAAATTCAAAACACTGACAACACTCAATGCTGACAAGAATGAACTGCTGCAGGAACTCTCATTCATTGCTAGTGGGAATGCAAAATGACACAGTTACCTTGGAAGTTTGGCAGTTTCTTACAAAACTAAACATAGTCTTACCATATGATCTAGCAATTTTATTTCTTGGTATTTACCCCAATGAGTTGAAATCTTACGTACACACAAAAACCTACACATGAATGTTTATAGCAGCTTTATTCCCTTCCTACAAACCTCAGAGATTCTTTTCTAATCTGAATTAAGGGAAAATGTATTCCTACTACATGACAGCACTTTTTTTCAAAGCCTCTGGCACTTAAGCCTGCTTCTACTTTACTGCTGAGATACACCATTCTACTCCATAACACAGGTCCTGCCAGGTGAATGTGAACGCTTTCACATAATTTAGGGGAAACTCTTAAAACAATGGAATGTTTTAAATTATAAAATGAATAGGATATAACCCAAAGAAAAAACTCCAAACGAGAATCTGTTGAAGGACTGTTCGTGGCAGAGGATGCCGACAGGACATGCTAATAACAAGCAGGGCCTTTGCCTCAAAATGGCACATGGCTCTAAGTGGGCTTCTCCTGCTTCCTCCTCCCCACACCACAGCAGCAGTGAGGATTTAGAGCCTTCCACGCCACAGTGGACTCGGTCTCCCTTCCCACCTGGCAGAAGCTGCATCCACCCACTCTGGTTCTGCTTCGTTCTCGATGTGAGTGTATCAATGAGATCACAATCTCCTCCTTGGTATCTATAAGCTACTTATCAGAGTTGCCCCCGCAATTCAAGTGGCTAGCCACAGCAAGATGGGTAACCTGTCTGTATCTAAACCTGCTTTTTTATAGCTTTATCACCAAAGAGATTATAAGGACATAAAGGACCCAAACACAAGAGCAAAACTCACCATCATAACTTCTTTCAATAGCTAATGATAGTACACAACCCAGTTTTGTCAAATTTTGGGAGACAGAAGTATGTCTTTCGACTGGATGGAAAGAAAAGATTACTTTTAATCTATTACGTGCTTTTCTTCTCCTCCCAGTAGCTACATTTGCCTTCTCAGCAATCATTCACTTACTAGCCTAAATCATGAGCTATCACCTACTAAAGGAGTAAAACACACGAAGTCCTAAGATGACTTCCCAAGGACGGCCAGCTCTTGTACTGAGCACTGAGCCGCTAGCGTAGCAAGACGCCCCTTGCCGCCTTCACGCTTACCCACCACATAACCTCTTAATGCTTTTGCTCTCATTCTCTTCCTAGAGATGTACAAATGAAATCCATTAGCTTTAAAATAAAGTAACTGCAAATGAATTAATTTCTCACCAACCCCAATCCCAACAGTCCCTATAGATTTTTTCCACAGCAAATTAAATACCTACTGCTAAACAGAAAAAAGACCATATTCTAATAGAGCACACAGCTACAGACGCCACTTCTGAGAGCTTGGTACACTCAGCCATCCGTGAAGACACATTTCTACTTAAGTACTAATACTGAATAGGTTAAGATGGTTAATGAAGTCATGTTTATATGGGATGATGAAAATACAAACGAAAATTGCCATTTCTTTTTAAACTATACCAGGATTTGACGTAACAAAAATATATTTGGTTGATACACACACTCCAAAATAAATAATCTTAGGTAATCTGCAGCCTGAAACGAGTCTTCATTTATTGACTACTTACAGTACAGTGATCTCGTATCTTAGCTGGTAATCAAAGGTGGTTATGGATTCAGTGAGAGAAGACGTCCTCTCTCTTCCAGATATCACCTCTCAGAAATCCGGGCTAATTCAATTTTAAGAACTAGACTTTTACCTCCTGGTAACTATGTGGCAGCCATCACCCTGAGAACAGGAACAAGGCAAAGAAAGTATACAGGACTTTGATTCTCCTACACAGGTGCACATAAAGTTAGTTTATTAAGGACACATTTCGAAGCCAGCCATTTTGATCCAGTATTTCAATAACAAGCGGTTTAATATTAAAGCAGAAGGTACTGTCACAATGTGACAGAAGTACAGCTTTATCCATAAACCCTTCACACAGTTATACATTAAATGCTATTTTTGTTTAAGCAAGGCACCCCTACTTGTTCTAAAATATGGGATGTGCTATCCCACTGAAAAAAGCAAATGAGGAGACAGTTTCTTTTTCCTCTCAGGAGCTGGTTTAAATTCAAGTGAAGCCATTAATGTCTTTACCAGTCAGGACTGTTCTGACATGTCACTTCACGGTTTTGAGACTAACAAACACCCTCAAGATTTACCCACAGTCAAAAAAAAGTTGGGGGGGGGGGTGAGTGTTCAGAGAACTTTTGAGACAAGAATTCTCTCCTTAAGGATACAGGCACCAAAGTCAAATGCCTTTAGCACAAGGCTTAGAAAGGCAAAACATTTCCAAAGACGTAAAACTGCCAAATTGTTGTCACTTAACTCACTAACCTGTGATACTTATTTTTTTTTTTTTTAATTTCTACTCCTACCTAAGTAATCTAATACACCTAAAATTATAACTACTTTGCCAAACCTTAATAATTCAAAGGTCTGAAGCCTTTCCTTGCTTTGGTGAGTATTTGGTTAAAATAAATCAGTATTTCATTCCAGAGAAGTTTTACATCAGAGCCTTAATTCATAGGCAAAAGGACAAAACCTCCAACAGACCATTTGTAAAATGGGAGAAAAGATTTTCAAGGACAGTGCTAAATAAAAAGATGTAGTCTTTTCATTGGGTAACACATCTCCTATGAAAACAAACTGTTTAATCGTATGTAATAAAAACCCCAGATTTTTAAATCAGATCTTGAACAGATTAAACGAAAATTTAAATTTGTGGTTTATTTCATAATTCCAAACTGAATCTTTCCTTTTCCTTTCTAAACAGTCCACTACGTAATTTGTCTTATAAGCAATTAACCCAAAACCCCCAAATCCTTTCTCTAGCAGTTGCTGCTACAAAACTGGAACTTTATATTCCATGTCCAAGAAAAGATGTGCAAATGAAATGCTTCTTGCTTCATCCTGAAAATAAAACGAAAAATGTTGCACATTTACTCAAAATGAAAAAGTAGTGCAAAATAAATAAATAAAAGAGAAAGTGTTACCATACCATACCCTTTCCCAGACCATTTAAAATTACAAATTTAATTTTTTTTTTTTTGAGGGGCCTGAACTCACAACTGTGAGATTGAGATCAAGAGTCAGACACTTACCCGAATAAGCCACCCAAGTGCCCCAATACTTTTTTTTTGATTTAGTGTAAATCCATTCAGTGACAAATCCATTAAGTTACAGTAAAGAAAATTAGTTAGGCATTAGTGTTTACAGCCTGCTATAAGGACAGATTTTCAGAGTTAAGCACAGAACATATTTTACACAGATTTTAGCTAATATTTAACATCACAAGATTGTGGGACTTTATATCCAAAATAGCCTGTGACAACTACAGTAAAGAAATGCCTCCTGTATTTCCAAGAAATCATTACAGTTAACTATCTCAAATGTACCACTACAAACAGAAAAATGATTATAATACATTAAAAGATTTTATGGGGAAATAAAAGATACCACATAACATTTAGTCAAAGGAGGGGCACCAACACATTTAGTAGATTTGTCACACATTAAGTTAACTCTATGAAATCGTGTACTTCCTAGGACAGACAACTATTTTCATAACACTTTTTTAGGAAAGAGACAGTGGTACATTAAGTGTAGATAATAATGATATTAATTTCAAATATATCATTTTAAACATTTTAATATCTTAGAACTGAAGAAATGTGTTTAAATTTTATAGGAAGAAAAGCTACTATAAGCACATTTTCAGTATATTATAATTTATAGCTATTAAAGGTAAAAAATTATTTTTAGGCACACAGCAGGATGAATATTGGGAATGATGCCAATAGATTCTATATGGGAAAAATACCCAAAACCACTATACAATCATAATGAATCCTATTTCCCAGGAGATTTTCATTCCTTATTTTGATGTTTCAGTTATCATGATTAGTCTGATCATTATTAAGGGGCTCCTGGGTGGCTCAGTTGGCTGAGCATCAACTCTTAATGTGGGCTCAAGTCATGATCTCAGGGTCCTGGGATCGAGCTCTGCATCAGGCCCTGTGCTCAGCATAGAGTCTGCTTCTCCCTCTCCTTCTGCTCCTTGCCCTGCGCACACACACACACCTCCTCTAAAAAGTAAATAAAATCTTAAAAAAAAAAAAAAAGAAAGAAAGAAAAGAATGGTCTCCACCATATTACAAATTAGTGAGTTAATACTTAATTTATCAATTGAAAATAATTCTCACAATTGTACCTCTTAAATTTACCTTATTATCTGGAGTCCCTGGAAGTCTTATTTTCCCTTTGGACATGAATTCAGGAACAATTCAATATATCTATGGTCTGAGAATGACAAAAAAAGATTCATTTTAAGAAGCTGAAAAGGGAGAAATAATACTATAGTCATTTTCTCATAGTTCAGACAGCAACTCAAACCCTTTGTCTATTACATTTCCTAATTAAAAACGAAAACAAAATTAAAAACAAGCAAAAAAAATCCTACCTCTGCATAGAAATATGCAAGACAATTAGCAAACAAATGTTTTTCATTACAATACAGCATTCTGTCCTTTTTATATTTAATTTTGTAGTATTAACACCGCAGAGTTTTCCCAAGGAAAAGGTCTAGGCAAACTCCAAAACAGAGAAAGGCAAAGACAGATGTCAAAACTGACAATGCAAACCATGGGCAGCACTTACGAACATGGGACCGATCCTTGAGCATAGCTGCAACAGCATCCTCATGGGTATCGAAGTGCACGTCAGCCTCTCCAGTGGCCTTCCCATTAGAACTGTATTCCATGGTGATTCTAACAGGCTTCAGCGGAGCAAAGAACTAAACAACAAACAAAAGAAGCTAAAAGGAATATAATGGTAGCAGGCCCGATTTCTAGGAGTCTAAGGTTCTGCATTTTTCTTTCAGACTCTGATTCATACACCCAAGAAATTTGTTTTTAGAGAATCTCTTTAAGCAACAAAGTAGTTACACATCTACCCTGTCGTCTGGCTTTTCTGATCCTGTTAGAACTCAAGGTTACATTTCAACTATATAATCACAGAAAAAAACTGTACAATACACAATACAGCAAGAGTGCTCAAACTTTCTTACGCTAGAAAGGACTGCTTCTATTACTCCTCTCACACACATCCTTCCCTGTTTCTAAAGAGTGTCCATCCTTCATTTCTTAATAAGTCATTTTTACATCAGCTATGTGCTTGCTCATCAGTTTTTACCAGCACTACATGAACAGAGCTACCACACTGAGTGGTTATCATTTCAAACCAAAGCAAAAGAATATAATGCTCCAATGAGACTGTGTGAACTTTGTCTGGTTAAAGATAGGATTCTTATCAGGCTTTTTGAAATAATGAAGACAACTTTGAGGACCCACTACTAACTGAAGATTCTAGGTTTGGATCTACCTTAAGTATATGTCCTCGAATTCATGAAGTCAGTATGACTATTGTTGTTTCCCTTTCTTTTCATACATTGTTATAAAAATATTTTTAAAATTCCTTTCTCAAAAATTAGGGAATCCCGATGAAGGCTACAAGCTTCTAAGTATTTAGGAGCACTGGGATTCGTTTAGTATATAACCACCCTGTGACAAATTCCCTGAGTCTCGGCTTCCTAAACTCAAAAATGAGTAGGCTGAACCAATTTAGAGAAAAACCAAACTTACTTTGAATACTAATGCTACATCATTATTTTGTATCTATAAAATCCTCTTATCATAATACATTTGACCTTAAAATATAATAAAGCCCACACTTCTCAGCTGAAGAAAACAAGCTTCCACAACCAAGGAGATGCCACCTTACTGTCCAAAAATAGTTCAGAAATAGGATATTTTCTTCTCTATCTTTCCCATGTTAATGTAAGTTCAGTTTTAGAATTTTTGTTCAAACCTATTGAGATTGGATATCTTACTGCCACACACGTTTATAATGTCTTGGGCATTAGCTTGGAAAGGCAATCCTCTCATGTGGACAAAATGTAGTGAAGATGTAGTTCCAAAATCAACAGCCTCTGGAAGCTTTTCTGACATCTCCTTAGGCAGTTCTGAGAAGTGGGACAGAAAGCACTGTCAGAAACATAAGAGCTTCAAGAGTTATTAACAGATTATAATTAGGTATGACCTTTCTGTCAAAACCCTCAATTCTTCCTGAACCAGTAAGGAAGAAGGGCTTTAATTTTCTTTTTTATTATGTTATGTTAATCACCATACTTTATTACATCATTAGTTTCTGATGTAGTGTTCCATGATTCATTATTTGCGTATAACATCCAGTGCTCCATGCAGAACGTGTCCCCTTTAATACCCATCACTAGGCTAACCCATCCTCCCACCTCCTTCCCCTCTAGAACCCTGTTTGTTTCTCAGAGTCCATAGTCTCTCATGATTCGTCTCCCTCTCCGATTTCCCCCCCTTCCTTTTACCCTTCCTACTATCTTCTTCTTTTTTTTTAACATATAATGTATTACTTGTTTCAGAGGTACAGGTCTGTGATTCAACAGTCTTAAACAATACACAACGCTCACCATAGCACATGCCCTCCCCAATGTCTATCACCCAGTCACCCCATCCCTCCGACCCTCCACCACTCCAGCAACCCTCAGTTTGTTTCCTGAGATTAAGAATTCCTCATATCAGTGAGGTCATATGATACATGTCTTTCTCTGATTGACTTATTTTGCTTAGCATAGTACCCTCTAGTTCCAACCACGTCATTACAAATGGCAAGATTTCATTCCTTTTGATGGCTGCATAATATTCCACCGTGTGTGTGTGTGTGTGTGTGTGTGTGTGTGTGTGTGTACCACATCTTCTTTATCCATTCATCTGTCGATGGACATCTTGGCTCTATCCACAGTTTGGCTATTGTGGACACTGCTGCTATAAACATCGGGGTGCACGTACCCAAGAAGGGCTTTAATTTTAAAAGCAAAAATGTTCTGACATTTCTGCCACCTAACAAATATCACCTGAACACCCATGAGGATTTAGCGTAAAGATTTCGTACCTCAAACCGCTACCAGATTACAAAAAAAAAAAAAAAAAAACAGGTATTTATATAAGAATAGAGAGAAGGATGGGGCGCGTGTGTGGCTCAGTCAGTTGAGTCTGCCTTCGGCTCAGGTCATGATCCCGGGGTCCTGGGATCGAGCCCCACATCGGGCTCTGTGCTTGGTGGGAAGCCTGCTTCTCTCTCTCCCACTCCCCCTGCTTGTGTTCCCTCTCTTGCTATGTCTCTCTCTGTCAAATAAATAAATAAAATCTTTAAAAAAAAAATAAAAAAGAATAGTGAGAGGGAAAAATGATTATGAGTGGAAATAAAAGAAACTCTCTGGGTTACAGGCACTGAAAAAAAAAAGAAATATGGTAATGGGATAATCCCATGGCGTGAGTTTAAAGATTTATTTATTTGAGAGAGCAAGAGAGCGAGAGATGGTGGGGAGGGGCAGAGGGAGAGAATCCTGAAGGAGACTCCCTGCTGAGCTCAGAGCCCAACCCAGGGCTCAATCCCAGGACCCCCAGGTCACGACCTGAGCAGAAATCAAGAGTCTGCCACTCAACCAACTGAGCCACCCAGGCACCCCACCATGGCATGAGTTTAAAAAGGAATTATCACACTTCAAAGATTCCACATGTTACTTTGGGTTAGGAATCAGAGGAATAATTAAATACAGAGGCAAACAAAACTTCTTTAGTCAACATTCGAGCCCTCTACATCTTTTCTCACCTTAGTTTAAATGATGACATTTTATGTTGTTTTATTATATTTGTGCCACCCAGCTTTTTATATAAAATCCACAAGAATGATTATATAAAAACTTAACAAAATAATTAAGCCCTTCTGCACATATTCAAAGTACATACTACACTCAAAGACAGATAAATCTTCCAACTCAATTCCCTGGTCCTATAATCTAATAATCCCATACAACATGGTCATAAAAAATATTTTAAATATCAAAACATACAAAATAGATCCAATAAGTCTCAATAAGATGCAGGTCCTTACCTATTTCCTTCTCACTTTCAAAAGCTGTCATGGGTCGAATATCCTCATTTACTTCGTGTTCTTCAAAGACCATTTCTGGCTCAGTTATATACTTAGCAGTAGGAGAAGATGCCATTTTCTTTCCCTTATGAGAACCAACATGTGTTCGGACTTCATTCCTTCTGCTTGGAAATATCTCTATATACCTATATCAAAACAATGCAAAGTCACTTTACACTGAAGTCATTTAAAATAAAACATGCATATATATTTCCAACAGCTTATGAAACACGAGTGTCCAAAGATAACAGATGAGGGACAAGGTAAGACTAGATACAAATATTAGTCCATGAAAAGTATTCTCAACAGTACATGTCACTGATTTAATCTCCCCCACACCCCTGCCCAAGATAACAGCTTTCTTCATATACATTTTAACAGTATTTACTTACTTCGTGAGAACAACTATGCCAAGATTAATTGTGTGTATGAAAATATCTGGTAAGAAGGGTTTTTTTGGTTTTTTTTTTAACAGTTGGTTAACAGTCTCTTAAAGCCTTACAAGTCAATTCTGTGAAAAAAAAATTTTTTTTTTTTAAGATTTTTATTTATTTATTTGACAGAGAAAGACACAGCAAGAGAGGGAACACAAACGGGGAGTGGGAGAGGGAGAAGCAGACTCCCTGCCAAGCAGGGAGCCCGATGTGGGACTCGATCCCGGGACTCCAGGATCATGACCTGAGCCGAAGGCAGTCGCCCAACCAACTGAGCCACCCAGACGCCCAATTCTGTGAAAATTAATGATATCTGTGTAAGATATTAAAAGTCAGAGTATATGAGGAGCTAAAAACCCCCAGAACTTCAATAAGACGCCAATGAGAATTCATGAACTAAATGTCAAATCTGATTTGCTACCTGCTTGGCAGTGGGATTATCTATTAAATCCAAGCTTCTGAAACCAGTTTCTTTTTTTCTCAATACTGCTTTTCCAATTAGGTTATTAAGCCTGAATTGCAAAAATCATTTGTATTTATAGATCTATAAAGATAGGCACCACTTCTTAATTTACTGAAGAGATTTATAGACTGCCATAATGTTCCCACATAAAAACATAGCACTGAGGGGCGCCTGGGTGGCTCAGTCATTAAGCGTCTGCCTTCGGCTCAGGTCATGATCCCAGGGTCCTGGGACCGAGCCCCGCATCGGGCTCCCTGCTCCCCGGGAAGCCTGCTTCTCCCTCCTCCACTCCCCCTGCTTGTGTTCCCTCTCTTGCTGTGTCTCTGTCAAATAAATAAATAAAATCTTTACCAAAAAAAATAGCACTGGTTTGTTCTAAGACATATTATAAGAAAATGTGAAGAGTACTAAAAAAAAAAGGGAGAAGAGGGTGCTTTGCAAAACCATTTTTATTTTTAAAAAATTTAACAAAGACCTCTAAATCAATTCTATACACAGATCCTAAAATACATAGCTTTAAAATAGCTTTTCATTTTTTTAAAACTTCAAAGGAGCCAAGTAAAACAGCCAGAAAGCAGCAAAACAGCAATCTAAAATCTGACACTTTTGAGTACTCCTCCAAATTTGACACAAATGAACCCATCCAACACTACATGCATCCAATGTGATGTGATATGCAGTATAAAACAATACCTATAGTGTATCTGTATCAAAATGTTAGCCTGATTCAATTCAAGACTTTAGCTTGAACTTCCAGTTTTCAGAAAATAACAGATACAAAGGAACAAAGCGACACCATGAAGAAGCAATAAGATCAACATAAAACATGAGACATTGTACAGGGTGATTGACTCAACTTCCTCAAAAGTTAATTGCATTTAAAAAGGGGAAGGGAATAAAAACATAAAGGAGAAGGAGACTTACTCTAGTTTAAGAGAACTGTAGATATTAACTATCAAATGCCATGTGTGGACCATATCTAGATTCTGGTACCAAAGGAAAAAAAAAAAAAAAAATAACAACTCTGAGTGGTGCCTGGGTGGCTCAGTGAGTTGATCATCTGCCTTTGGCCCAGGTCACGGTCCCAGGATCCTGGGATTAAGCCCCTCATTGGGCTCCTTGCTCGCAGGGAACCTACTTCTCCTTCTCCTCTCAGCTCAGTGCTCTCTCTTGCTATCTCTCAAAAAAAACAAAACAAAAAAAACTGTGAAAAGACAATTTTGGTATAATTGGGAAAGTGTGACTATGGACAGGCATTAGACAATAAATTACCACCAATTTTGTTAGACGTGATATTAGGACCACATGAGAAAATGTTTTTTAGGGGTGCCTGGGTGGCTCAGTCGTTAAGCGGCTGCCTTCAGCTCAGGTCATGATCCCACGGTCCTGGGATCGAGCCCCGAGTCGGGCTCCCTGCTCGGCAGAGAGCCTTCTTCTCCCTCTCCCTCTGCCTGCTGCTCTGCCTACTTGTGCTCTCTATCTCTCTGTCAAATAAATAAAAACCTTAAAAAACATTTTTTTTAATAAAAAAAATGTTTTTTAAAGATGCATACTGAAAAAACAGATGAAGCAAATATAACAAATGTTAATAATTTGTTAATTCTAAGTGATGGGCATTTGACAGGTCATCATATTATTCTACTTTTCTGTAGATAATTTTTACAGTTCTACTACAGTGCATTCATCAAAATGACCCAACATATAATACTTGAGCATTATTAGAATCTGCTTCACTCACCGGTTACCAATTTCTTCCCTATGTTTCAATAGAGCTTGGTTGGCCATTTCTGGTTCTTCAAACTGCACATAGGCTTCTCCTGTTTTTCTTCTCCCTCTGTAGTCCATGACAAAAGTGATGTCTACTATATTCAGTCCTAGGACACAAAATTATTACAAATTAGTGCTGCTAACAGGAGCCTTTTTTATCCTTAGGATTAATACATTTGTTCACATACTAGTAACTTTTTTTATTTTATTAGTAAAATGTTAGGCCTGTTTTGCTAGTCTCTAAGCTGGATACATGCCTAAAGGGGAGGAAAATCATTATGTGGCAAAGCTAATAACACCTACAACATCTGTATTTCCAGAATACTTAGGATTCATGCAGTCCATCTAAAACACACAATCTTTGTGTGTGTGCCATTAATTATGTTAATAGGGGAAACAGGAATTTAGACTAACATCACTACTAATGTTAAATTTTTTACAGCTAAGAATTAGACAATAATGCTTTTAAATGATATAAATTGTTACTGTCTTAAACAAATATGGCCACTCTTGCAAAAGGTTATCTTCCTCAAAAGTAAAATAAACCTGCATGAAATAATTCTGAAATGTGACATCCTCCAAAGGTTAGCATAATAAGTCAAAACACTTATATAATCTATAAACATTCGTAACACAAGTGAAGAGTTCTCCCCTAAAGAACCTAATACAACTGCATGCAGTTACCTAGGAAAAGGTTCATTTAAGATATAAAAGGAAACAATAAGGAAAAAAAATGAAGCCCCAAACATGATATAACTGAAAAGCACCTGCAAAGAAGTCTACGATGTCTTTCTCATTGCAACTATAAGGAAGTCCTCTCAAACGAACCACGCCATCATTTACCACGGGTGAAGATTTGACCTGCAGGCTCTTCATTAAGGCATCCACATCTTCATTGTTTATCTCATACACTGCAAAGAAAGAGCACAGAAAGCACGCAAATTTACAAAGCAAAGGAAGAAGACATTAAAAAAAAAATAGTGGGTTATCCAAGAAGGTAAAAATCAGTATTTTTAATCTTTATGTACTTCTCTGGAGAAAATAACAAATGACATTGACTGAATATTTACTGTGTGCCACCTATTTAAACAACTTGTGAGCTAAACCTGGTCAACATCCTCATTTTATAGATAAGAAACTGAGATTATCTCTCTGTTTCATTTTCATACCCTATAAAAGGGTGTATTCATAATATCTATCTCCTTCATTATTACTAAGGCCCAAATGAAACCGCCTTAGAAAGTACAGGCTAGGGCGCCTGGGTGGCTCAGTCGGTTAAGCGACTGCCTTTGGCTCAGGTCATGATCCCAGGGTCCTAGGATCGAGTCCCACATCGGGCTCCCTGCTCTGCAGGGAGCCTGCTTCTCCCTCTCCCACTCCCCTTGCTTGTGTTCCCTCTCTCGCTGTGTCTGTCAAATAAATAAATAAAATCTTAAAAAAAAAAAAAAGAAAGAAAGAAAGTACAGGCTAAGGTACTGATCACAAAAGCCAGGACATGACTTCACGTACCTTCCACATATCGTTGTCCCATGTACATGCGATGCTTTTCTAAGGCTTTTTGCACATCCTGCTCTGACTCCATTTCAATTAAGGCATCACCCCTTCGTTTCCCATCTCTGTTTAAGAGGAAGTGTATTCCATTCTCACCATTGCGGATTCTGCAGTCTGAAAGTATGGGAGTAAAATCAAAACCAGAAATCAAACTTTTAGCTCAATTATACAAGTCGCTAGAATGCAATCTTCCAATTCCAACAACAAAACAAAGCATGAACCAAAATGTCTATCATATTCTTTATAGAAACCCCCATCACTGAAGGCATCCAAATGCTAATGAGATGGTAGTCTATAAAATGTTCCACTTTCTTGAGAGAGAGCAAACCTTAGTACATAAGCTTATGATCTCCTGATCATTAAAAGAGCAAACAAGCTCAACATAAAATATATCATGTCCTTCCCAATGCTTCTACAATCAGTTTCAAATCCAAAGTTTAAAATATGCTTAAGTTTATACAGAAGTGTCTTATTTTCTCATAATCATAACTACAGGAACTTTAAAATAAATCCTGTAAGAATAATTTTGTTACCATAATTGAACTTTGCCCCCTCTTCGTTACCAAGATCCCCATACTGCATACGTATAATGGCAGCAGAGTTGAAGAGGTAAGTGGCTTCATAAAATACTTGACACACATAATGCTATGCACATCAAGGTACTCAATATATTATTACATCATTTTATAACATTTAAGATGGCATCCTCTAAAAAGCCTTTTTTGGGGGGGCACCTTGGTGGCTCAGTCGGTTAAGCATCTGACTTCAGCTCAGGTCTTGATCTCGGGGTCCTGGGATTGAGCCCAGTGGCAGAGCTCTGTGCTCAGCAGGGAGTCTGCTTGTCCCTCTGCCCCTCCCCTGGCTACTGCTGGCTCACTCTGCTCTCTCTCAAATAAATGAATAAAATCTTTTTAAAAAATAAATAGGGCGCCTGGGTGGCTCAGTTGGCCTTCAGCTCAGGTCATGATACCAGGGTCCTAGAAGCGAGCCCCATGTCGGGCTCCCTGCTCAGCAGGAAGCCTGCTTCTCCCTCTCCCATTGCCCCTACTTGTGTTCCTGCTCTTGCTGTGTCTCTGTCAAATAAATAAAAATCTTTTTAAAAAAATTTTTAATAAATAAATAAAGCCTTTTTTTTTTTTTTTAAAGATTTTATTTATTTATTTGAGAGAATGCGCAAGCTGGGGAAAGCAGAGGGAGAGATCCTCAGGCAGACTCCCCACTGAGCACGGAGTCAGACTCAGGGCTCAATCCCAGGATTGAGATCATGAGCTGAAATCATGACCTGAGCTGAAATCAAGTCGAACGCTTAACCGACTGAGTTACGCAGGCGTCCCCTTTCTAAAAGCTTTTTAAGAGGAAAATTAAAAATCACAGTCAGATACAGAACTTAAAAACTATTCACAGATATGTAAACATTCCAAAAATGTCATTAAGGAAATTATATCACTTAACACTTAGCAATCTTGCATTCTAAATGTATGTATTACATAAAGAGCTATGCTTAACTGGTTTTGTTTTTTGGTAAGTACATACCAAAACCAGAAAACTGGTTTTTACCATGTTGTGAGACTACCTTGTACTCAAACAAAATTACATATTTCAAACATACATAAAATATACCTGAGAAAAAGTTAACCACATCTTCTATAGTGCATGACCACGGCAATCCTTGAGCTCGAATGAGATAAACATCATCCACTTCCTCTCCTAGCTTGGATGAAGCCAATTCATACTCAGGGAGAGGTGGAAGGTCTTCCAGGTAGGTAGTTTTGGACTCCTTCCAAGAGAAATGAAGAAATGTAAAAATACTTCTTTGACAACCTTACTTAGAAAATGTTTATTTCTGCAAACCAATGATCTGGATGTTATTCTTAGGAGACAGTTACTATTTCAGAGGCAAGAAATAAACTTCACAAATCTAACTCATCCTTTTTTGGCTTAAATTGTACATTTGAAAGCAACAAGCAGGCATATCCCAATGATTAGGCAGGACATAAATTTTATTCAGGGCTTGTTTTTAAATTCATCGGTCCCAAATTACACCTAATAATAATGTTTTAGTTAAGGCAAGACAAGAGGGTCCCTTCAACTGGACAAATATGAGTGCCTCCTACTCATTGTGTGCCTTATTAGCCTCTCATCTCAAAGAGCTTACCATCTTAGACTAAGACAAGCACTACAAAACAGGATGCTTTATGTGCTACAATTAAGACACAAGGTTATTACAGAAATTCAAAACAGAACACTAACAGAAGAATCAAGACATAATATAAGAGGGGCCTCAAAGGAAGCATAGAATTTTGACAGCAATACACAAAAGATTGGGCATTCCAGTTTGAGAGCTGAGGGGAAGAAGCAGTATGAAAAAAAGCCCATTTGCAAAACAGCAATAATCCCATTTGGCTAAACTGCAGGGTACAATTAGGAGCCAAAGAAGATGAGCTGGCAAAAGGAACTTGGTACCATACAACAGAGGGACTTGAGTGTCAAGCTCAATGTGTGTCCCCTTCACCCAGCAGGCAAAAGAGAAATAATAAAAGACACTTTGGAGTGGGTAAAATAACAAGAGAGCAGGGTGCTTGGAAAGAGTAACCTGTCAACTGTAAGTCAGACCAACTGAGTAAGGTAAAGATTGTAAAAGGTGACAGAGCCTGAGACATACCGAAAGAACTCTATTTTACAAGACTAAGCAAAAACTGGAATTTAACAAGATTCCATTAAGCACTACAACCATAACCAGGAATGACAACTGAAGTTTTAAGACTTGCACTCTACTGGGCTAAAGAAAAAGATTCTTTTGTACCATGCCACCGTTTATGTTAAGACTTAAGTCTACCTAAAAGGAATCAATGATAAACGTAAACCTCGGGCGCCTGGGTGGCTCAGTTGGTTAAGCGACTGCCTTCGGCTCAGGTCATGATCCTGGAGTCCCGGGATCGAGTCCCGCATTGGGCTCCCTGCTCAGCAGGGGGTCTGCTTCTCCCTCTGCCCTCTTCCCTCTCGTGCTCTGTCTCTCATTCTCTCTCTCAAATAAATAAATAAAATCTTTAAAAAAAAAAAAAAAGATAAACGGAAACCTCTAGCAGATGTCTTTGACATACTTCATAAAAATGCAACAAGCACTACAATTACCAATGTGGAAACACAACTCAGGCTTTAAGTCAAGTGACTTGCAATCTATCGTGCTACGGAGATACTTTACTCCTTTGTACGTTCCCATCATTTTCATGAAGACGTAGGTAAAATTTTAAGAAGTCAATGATAAATGTAAGCACAGCGTGTAACACTAGTAGAGGCTCAACAGATATCATTACAGTCAATTTCACAGAAAAAAAAAATCAAGAGAGTAGCTAGCTCGCAAAGGCTTACTAGAGATAGTTCGTGTTTTTTAAATAAAGGTAACAGTCTGGGCGCCTGGGTGGCTCAGTCGTTAAGCGACTGCCTTCAGCTCAGGTCATGATCCCAGGGTCCTGGGATCGAGTCCCGCATCGGGCTCCCTGCTCCGCGGGAAGCCTGCTTCTCCCTCCTCCACTCCCCCTGCTTGTGTTCCCTCTCTCGCTGTGTCTCTCTCTGTCAAATAAATAAATAAAATCTTAAAAATAAAAAAATAAAAAATAAAGGTAACAGTCCCCATTTTCCCAGAATTCCACACGCACCACAAGCTTTTACCGAAAAGGGCAGCACAAAGTATTGGGCCAGGATTCAAATCAATTAGCTCAGCCACTGGCAGAGAGAAGCCATGCTGATTAGCCTCCCAGTTTCCCTAAGTTCAAGGAGAAGCACAAATTGAATTAAGATAAATATGATCCAAGATATCAAGAGCTGGGTTGTCGAAACGTGAGCTGATATTTCCCAGATACCACGGAACAAGCAGAAAAGAAACCTTCCTACAAGGCACAAAATATTTGCAATCTGAGTTCTTAAAGGACACAGTGACTTTAAAAAAGAAAACACTGTAGACTCACTCCTGGGTCCCCAAGTCGTGGCCTTACCTCTAGGCGTCCCCTCTTCTAGCCACCCCCCCACCCCGAAATCAGTCTCCACGCTGTCCTCCCCGTCGGCGGCGACCCATGGTCCTAAAGGTCCTTCTGCTAAAGGAGGTGGCAGTGCAGAGGTGACCTTCAGTAAATGGGGCAGCCCGCCTTTCCCCAGGGGCACGGGAGAGTAGGGAGCGCTGGCGACGAGCTTCCTTCCCCACCGACCCAGCCCACGTAACTCTGTGCGTGAACCTTCCCATCAGCAGGCTGCGAGGCGCGCCAGGGCCGCCTAGGCCTAGAGCTCTGGCTGCACGGAAACTCCCAACCCTCCGCGGGTCTGGCCTCCCAACTTCTCAACCAGCGGGCGGAGAGCGACAGGGATGCGGGGTTGGGGCGTCAACAGCCTCACAAAACCTACCATGGGCCGGCGGGGAACAAGGCCTCAACATTCACCCCTAGCCACACTTACACTGCCCAACCGACCAGAGACTCGAGAGAACAAAACAAGGAGAAAACCCGAGGCCTGGGAGAGCGTCCCTTGTTCTGGGGCCCAATAGGAGGACTGGGAGGGCGGGGGGGGGGGGGGGTGCGGCGCGTGCCGCGGATCCTCGGGCGTGCACGCGAGGCGCACGCGGAGGGGCGCGGGCACGCGCGCGGGCGCGCGACCGGGGAAGGGTCCTGCGCGCGGCCCCTCGCGGCGCCCACGTACCTGGCTGTAGCTCCGCGCCGGGCCCGCGGCCGCCGCCAGCGACTGCGGTAGCAGAGGGGCACGCAGGGCCGGGTAAGAAGCCGCGGCCGCAGCGGCGGCGGAGGCGGCCGCGGGGGGAGGCCCCGCCAGCCTCCCGGCGGACGCAGGCCCGGACTGGAGGCCCCGCGTGTTAGAGGCGGCGGCCGCAGCGGCCCCGAGCAGCAGCAGCAGGCGGCGACGGCCCGAGACGCCCGAAGGGAAGGAGCCGGCGGCCGAGTAGAAAGGCAGGCAGGCGGCGCCGGTGCGCCGGCAGCTGCTGCAGTTGCAGCCGCAGCCCCGGAGCAGCGCCCCGAGCACCCAGCGCGTCCCGGCCATGGACTCCGGAGGCGGCGCGGGGCCTGGAGGCGGCTGCGGCTGCAGCGCGAGCGGAGGGGGAGTGGAATCCAGGGCCGGGGAGGGGGCGCCAGGCACATGCGCCGCGAGCACCCGGGGCAGCAGCGAGTCGAGAGGAGGCGGAGGAGAGCGCGCTGCTCCGCCCGGTCTCCGCCCTCGGGGCGGGGCTGCTGGCAGGCCGGGAGGGGCCGCGGGGGCCCGGGTACTACCACCCCGCCGTTCTTTCCCGGGTTGGAAACTGAGGCCCGAGGAGGGCGAAGCGAAGCCTGTTGCTCTGGGGAGGGCCGAGACAAGGAATGCCGGTTTAGCGACGCCCCGCACTGTCACCGCGAAACGCGTGCCGTGAGGGGCAAAAGGGCCGTTTCTGGAAAGAATTGTACTCTGGTTATAAAGAGATTGGGATAATGTCGGAGGAGGTTTAGTACCCCCAAGACTTGCCATCTGTGTGGAAGGCCAACTTCCTTTGTTTTAAAATGAAATATAGAGCTACTTACATGCTGATAATGTATATAGCAAAAATAAAATCTCCTCTAATAAGTTAGTGTATTCACAAGTGGACAGGCAGAAGTTTGCAAAAGGACTGGTTGGTTGTACGGTTTTCCTCCTCCTGTGACCAGGACCCGTCTCAGATTAATAGGCAAAAGGGAGTACTGAGAGTTACAAAATAGAAACATCTGAAAAATTTAAAACTTTTTATTCAGGAGAATCTCAAAGTACAATGAACTTCTAGAATTTCAGAAATTATTTTTTCTTTTTTCAATCTTGTTGTATCTGTCACCACCACCACCCCGTAAACATTTTTTCCTTTGCTGGAATATTTTAAAGCAGTCCCCAAAGATCATGTCAGACACCCTTTCAGTATCATCTTAAAGTGATCAGGACTTAAAAAAAAGAAGAAGAAACACGATGACTCTTGGATTAGCTGTTTTGAAGTATTCAAGAAAATTGTGTTTAAAATTTGAGTTGTTTACTCTGGCCTACTTTTAGGAAAAGGAAAGCTCATTATTTCCCAGAAAACTCTTTCCCCACCAAACCAAAGAACAGGAAAAAATCTGATTGGCTTGGCTCTATGGATTTGGAGTATCAAAGACGGGGCTTCCTCATCTGCAAGATTTAGGAATCCTAGAGATTTTTTTTTCTTACATCTCCCTTTCAAGCAGGAAAATGGGTTAGTCTGTCATAACAGATTATCACTGTAAATCATATCCGTGAACATGTTAGGGATTCTGCCTGTATTTACTCTTGCCTTCATTTTCTTAATAGCTGAAGCCATCATCCCATAATATGCAAATCTGAATGGATTAGCAACCTAATACATAGAATGAAATCTTGCAGATTATAATCAGGAGTAACACCAAAGTATTAAAATAGAAAGTCTCAATTTTTACTTAGAGGAAGTTGGGAGAATATAAGGGAGAAAAGAAACTAATTTTGAACAATTACTCAGTTATCTAACAAACATTTATTAAGTGCTTTTTGTGTTCCAGGCATGATGCTATGCCCTGTGCAGTCAGGGGTATAATAATAGGCTTACAGACCAAAAATCAAAGTGATATTTAGATTTATATATGTCTAGATTACAGAAAGAGAATAACAAGCTTTTTAAATTGAAACTTACGACTTACAGAACACCAGTTTTAAAAGTTGTATTAATTATTATTTTAACCCAAATAAGTATAGCCCTCTTTAGTGCTAGTTAAACTTTTATTATGGAAATGAAAAGACTCTTGGACAGGGGCGCCTGGGTGGCTCAGTTGGTTAAGTGACTGCCTTCGGCTCAGGTCATGATCCTGGAGTCCCGGGATCGAGTCCCGCATCGGACTCCCTGCTCGGCAGGGAGTCTGCTTCTCCCTCTGACCCTCCTCCCTCTCATGCTCTCTGTATCTCATTCTCTCAGTCTCAAATAAATAAATAAAATCTTTAAAAAAAAAAAAAAGACTCTTGGACAAAAAATTTACATTAAGAGACTGTTGAGGGTGGGGACAATGGAGGTGAAGAGGGAAGATTGAGATTTTAGGAAGTAAGATCAACAGGATTTGATGCTAGATTAGAGAGGGGGATAGTGTTTTCTGTGTAATTGTGTTATTATTTGGAGTTGGGAGAGGTGGGTGGGGACAACTTTTCATCCCTGGGCAAGTTTAGAAATCAATGTAGAGATATTGGAAGCAAATCAACCCCATTTCTGTTAAGCCAGAGAACACTCCTAGAAATACTCGTTTGAGAATTGTCAGTATAAATGAAGCTTCTGGTTTGGATGAGATTGCCAAGACCAAGTTAGAGTGTGAAGGCCTAGAAACAAGTGAGGTACTACCACAGTGAATGCCCTGTAGAGGAAAATGAACTTGCAAGGAGAGAAGGAGCAGCAAGAGAGTTAAGAGCAAATTAAGGAAAGCCAGCAGAGTGTTTCTCTGGAAGTAAGCAGGGAGCATCTAATAGTGTCAAGTCAAGTTACTAAGATCATTACTTACTTGTCAAGTGAGATGAGAACAAGAAAAAGTGTCTTGGATTTAGTGATATGGGAAGCCTTCAGTCATCTTGTCTACAGTTGTTTGGGGGCAGTGATAGCAGAGGCCAGAATAAAGCAGGGGTGAGGAAATGGAGATTGAAGTGCAAAATAAGATTGATTTTGTAGGTGAGAAAGGCATAAGGCAGTAAAGGAAGTATAGGTCAAAAGTGGGTTTTGTTTTTCTTGTTTGAATTAAATTGGGTTAGATTAGAGCATGTTGAAATGATATTGGGAAAGGATTCAATTGCTAAGGATTTAATTGAGTAATCAGGAGAAAATAGGCATAGTTGATATGTGGGTTCCTAGAAGGGTGGAAGAGGTTAGGCATCAAAGCTCAGGTGCAGAGATTACCATTATATGGGAGAGAGTGCTGCAGTTTCTCTAATTAATCATAAAGCATATTGTCCTTCCGGTACGGTCATTAGCACTTACTACAGTACGATATACAGAGTAGCACTAACAAAAGTGTTAACCTACTTCTCTGACGACAATTTATGAGGTAGAGCTAGTCTAAATTGGTGGAAAGAAACACTCCAGATTTGGGAGAGTAAGGAGAAGGACTGAGAAAAACAATCACCTCCCATTGCTAGGAAAGAATTTTCAAAAAGAAGTCCTCTTAGCTCTAAAGAGCACATTATTGTTAGCTGGGAAAAGACCTGGAAGGGAATGATTGTTCTTACTAAGAAATAAATGAAGGAACACATTTTATTGTCAGTGCCCCTCAATTCTTGGAGGTGAACATACTTTTCTTCTGATATGCAATGAAGTTGAGTTAATCTTAAAGGTCCCACCCCACAGCCTTCTTTGCATTTGAAAAGAACAAAAAAATCATGAACCATGGATGTCAATAAACCTAGGGTGGCAAAAGGAAAAGGAATGGAAGTGAAGTACCATAAAGAAATGGTGCCCATTTGTGTAACCTGTGTTTAAGGTGCTATTCATCATCCAAGATTAAAGGAAGAAATTTATTACATTGAGTAGATGCAAGAGAACTTCAAGAAAGTTACCTCCAAGGAAAGACAAAGAGGTGCATTTTATCACCACTACGACTGCTTTATTCTTTTATCTGACAAGGAAAATTAATCCACGGGAGCCACAAACTCAAAGATTTGTTTTTTGCAGCAGTGATGTGTTTCTTAGGTTAGCTTTGTCAATTGACCTATATTTACTAGTAACAAGTCCATGCTAACCAATTTTTATGTTTCTCCCATAGATTGCATTTGGAAAATCATTCTGTGAAGGAATATAATGTACCTATTTATGATTGACACATGACAGGCCAATAAACTTCTAAATACTGCAGCTTCTTCACTTGTTAAAATTAGCTTTTTGAAGTTAAGATAGGTCTCTAGGAAAGAGAGTAGCTGATTAGTTATTTAAATGAAATGTACTGTCAAGAAAAAGTAATATAAATATAAATAAAAATATTATATTAATAATGGCCCATTTTTCCCATGGCAAATATGAACAAGACTGGAAATAGGAACTCTGTTCCCAAGGGAATTCTCAGAACACATTATCAAATACAGTTATTACAAGGAACTAATTTATCCAGATAGAGGAGGTGGGCACAAAACTGAATTCTCTGTGAATGCTGAGTTGGTACTACTGTGTAAAGCTCATACTGAAGATATTTAGAAAGCGTAATGATGGGCTAGAGCATCCTCTGGCCATATTTACAAAAATAAGGTGGTTTTTACTAGTCAGCTAATAAAAAGTAATCACATCAACTCGCTTTTCGTAGGAGGGCAGAAGCCAGGGTGCAACCAGAGCCCGAGTCTGTGGACATCAATTGACACGCAAGATGCAAAATAACCAAGAAGCCTTCTTTAAAAGGCATCATTCTAAATAATAATCTCCTTAAAATAGCTTAATACATGGGGGCACCTGAGTGGTTCAGTTAAGTGTCCCCCTCTTGATTTCGGCTCAGGTCATGATCCTGTGGTCGTGAGATTGAGCCCCACTCAGGCTCCCCAGACAGTGTGGAGTCCGCTTCAGATGCTTTCTCCCTCTCCCTGCCCCTCTACTCCTCCCCACTGGCGCTCTCTCAAAAAAAAATAAATAAATAAAATCTTTAAAAACAAAATAAAATAGGTAATACATGAACATAGTGTTAAAAAAAAGAAGTCAAGCCATGCAAGATTATACATACACACATACACACACGCACACACAGAGTAAGGTTTGCCTCTACCCACTGTCCTCTAGTCATCCAGTTCTCCTCAAAGGTACTGTTCTTGTGTATCCTTTCAGAGATGGTCAGTGCAGTTTCCTCACTTCTAAATTTGGTAATTCTGCTGTACTTGGGATTTTGACAAGTTTTCGACCTGCTAAGAAAGGGTGTTCTGAAGCCAGTGTATTCCTAAATTAAGAGCTAAAGGACAAGGAAATGCAAGAGACAAATGAGATCCTGTCACAAGAAACAAAGGACACTGGGGAAAAAGGCATGAAAGGAAAAGATAAATCAGCTACGATATTTGGAAGAATAATGTTTCCCTCTTTAACAACACAGCTTAATTAGGAAAAACAAAACTTTAGAGTCACATTCTTAAAAAAATTCAGGCTAGGTCATTGTCAAGCTGTGTA